TGCTATGGTACTGACCATCAGTGCAAATGACCGCGAGCTGATCAGGCCTGGTCACACCTACTTGGGACAGAGACCTCATCCACTAAAGGGTCAGGAATGAACGTTGTGTATATTAAGTAAAATGAAATTGATTTAGAAATCTATTTCACATCCACGTGTGGCGCAAACATGGAAGTTACAGGCATCAGCGGCTCTGTAAAACGTCATACCGTTTTCCCAGAAGTCTGGTAGTTTCACCTGAGCAGGCTCAGCCGAAGACACGGCTTCAGTCGACGAGAATGTCTGACTACGTTGCGGTTCTCTAGACTAGGGCATCGTTTGAACCAGCGCCGCTGCTGCCGCTGAGCCTCCCTAGTCTCGGTCTACCTGCTCTGGGAGGTATGTAGTGCATTGGCCGCCAGCCGCTGCTCCCGCTGGGACGCCGTCTCGGCCTGCCTGCTTTGAGACATACGCATAACTTTAGTCGTCAGTCGATGCTCTCTTTCAGCGTAAGATGCGTGCTGTCTGCTATGTGACATCCTACGGGCATTGCTGCAGCCTGGAGGCATTCTTGTCCTTAGGCTCCACACGCTGATTTTGCACACGCTCCGCGTTTGAAGAGATTCTTTTTTAAGAGGGACCACCCTGGCCTTCCCCCGTAGAGGAAACGGGTTAAAGAGACTGAAAATGGATTTTAGTTAGGTATGTAGCCAAGAATGATATTTGCCTGGGCTGGTGGACGTCCGCTCGCCAGTTTATTACACGGCTACGATCGTGTATTCTGGTTGGATGTCGGCCAGATATCGATCCCCAATAAGACTGCTGCGGACTGAATAACGGTGTCTTCCGCAACGTCGTAGGACAGGCCTGTCTTTCCAAGAACTCCTGGAATCAGTCTCGCTCTGTCCTAAGATAGGAGGGGTTACTGTTTCCCTGGCAAAGTTCACCACAGCCCGTCTCAGGTTAATATGGTCTGCTAGTTGCACTGACTGGACGATATCAAGCTGTATAAGCTGACCTATCTCACGCCCATTGCGAATCTGATCAAGGAGTGCATGATAGAAACAGTTTCCACCCCCTATCGTCACAGCGTGATACTCAAGCTGTTCGCCAAGGTTGCCTGCTGTCGATATATAGTGGTTTATGATTATATCACTCTTCTGCTCCTTAACTGCCATGCAATAGAGCAGATCAGCACTGGGCGCTGGTTTCTCTCTCACGCCACAGCCTGCTTCCGATCCCTCAAGCAAGTGCTTCCGATCCCTCAAGCAAGCCCAAGACGTGATCGGCTTCCTGTTAGACCGCTTTCAACCTCTGGCTCGCAAGGTCCGAGAGTCGGTGCGTCGTCGACAACAACGACATCGTCCTCGTCGTTCGCGGTGTCTGTCACTACCTCTCCGCGACTCCTCTTTAGAAGCGTGGCCTTTCCCTGGCAGCTCGTTTGAGGGCGTGCAACAATTGAGACGTTGAGCTCACTGACAAGTCTTAAGCACTCGATGCATCGCGTCTTGCTACCAAATGTATCTTCACTTAAGTGAAGCGCGACCATACATAACTCGGTGCAGACCGCAGACGGTCTCGGTTCATCCGTCACAATCAGGGTGGACCAAAAAGGATGGAAACATTTTAAACTCTCATAAAATATGTGTTATTGCATGCAGGTGACTAAAAATGATACCAAACGAGAGTACATTTCTTGGAAATTCATAGTGATATCACTCTCATCTGTTTTCTCTCGTTTTCAGTCTCTCACAGGAAATGTTCGAAGAGGCCACCTTTGCGAGACAGGCAAAGAGCGGCCCGCCCGCCGGCTGACGCGATAGCCCGATGACACGTGTCCTCTGGTATGACTCGCACAGCCTCGGTGATCGCTCTCTTCAGATAACAGAGACCTACATAACCTTCCTTGTAGACCTGGCCCTTGAGATGACTCCACAGGAAAGGAATCTATAGGTCAGATGAGAAGACAGACAGGCCAGTTCCACTTCGGTTCGAGGATGGGAGCGACAACACCGTGGCTGACGACCAAAAGCACTACCAAGCGACGCTTAAGAAGTTGTTGAAGTGAGCCCAAACGAAGTATGGCAGTCTCATGGACCTCATGTGATTTCAGCACGACGATGCGCCTCCTCACATCGCGAAACAACGCTCAAGTGGAGCGAGAACCACTTTGGTGACCGGCTGATATCTCGCAGTGCCTGTCGGAACTGGCCTGTCTGCTCACCTGACCTGACCCCGATGGATTTTTTTCCCTGCGGGGTTATCTCAAGGCCAGGTCTACAAGGAAGGTTATGAAGGCCTCTGTTACCTGAAGAGATTGACCAAGGATGTGCGAGCCAAACCAGCGGACATGTGTCATCGGGCTATCGCGTCAGCCGGCAGGCGGGCCGCTCTTTGCCTGTCTCGCAAAGGTGGCCTCTTCGAACATTTGCTCTGAGAGACTGAAAAGGAGAGAGAGCAGATGAGAGAGATGTCATTATGAATTTCCACGAAACGTACTCTCGTTTGGTATCATTTTAAGTCACCTGCATGCAATAACACATATTTTATGCGAGTTTAAAATGTTTCCATCCTTTTTGGTCCACCCTGTACTCGTCGATAGGCTGTACATCCGAGGCAGTTCTTTCTCTCCCCTGAGATGCATGAGCCAAATAAATATGATTCAAAATGTTCATAGTTGTCCCCGCAGGAGTAACTCCATTCGGAGGTGATGAACGGGGACGTCGGTGGGGGTGTTGTTTTCCTGGCCAGTTCGGCTCCAGCTGCAGTACAGCACAACTGCTTAAAGCAACCACCTTTGGAGACGGCGCCATGAACAAGGCCTTCAGACGGGAGCGCACCTCTACGGGCTCTTCGGCGTTCGGCGTGGTGTCCTCCCCCGCCCCCCAAGCTGGGAAAAGCAGTTTTCAAGGCAGTCTTGATTGAGGTGGGATGTTAGCAGGTACTGCAGCTCGGGCACGGTACGACGCAGTTCATCGTTTAGCCTTCGGGGAGACGCTGTTGTCCGCAGAGTGCCGCGTTAGAACGGCAGCGGTTTCTGCTGTCCGTTGGGGTACTGTGATGTTGTTTTCAGACATGAGAGAGCTCATCCTCTCTACTATCTAGTGCGTGGTCCTGGGCCCCCTTGGTCTCGGCCGTCCTTCCATACGCGGACTGCTCAAGGCTCAGCCGTGGCGTTAAACTGGCCGCGGCTGTTCAGCACGTCGAACCAGGCGTTGGCCGTCAAAACAGCCTCTGCTCGACGGCTCGGTAGCAGCTCGCTGATGGCCGTGCCAACGGTATGTGAGAAGAGCTGTGTTGCCTGACGTGCTCGCTGGTTCAACTGTCAGGTTCCCTGCAAAGAATGTTACAGTCTACATATGATTGTATTTATCACGATACCTAGAGCATTTGCCCTATTGGGGCGTTTGCAAAATGACATAACACGTTTTTAGCTTTCTATGACCTTGTAAAAAATATGGCACGCTAGCCCTGTATGGTTATTAGTTGATCCTACATGTATATTTTGTAACGAACTTGCTACCGGGATTCCTACAAAGTATCGTACAGGGCACCATGTATGGTGTCGGGAGTACCTTACGCGTTGTCGTACAGGGTATTGTATAGGGTGCCATGGACGGTATCGTACAGAGTTTCGTACAGTGCACCACATTCAGTCACTCACCATTTAGGGCCGCGCTGTTCTCATCGTTGATTTTCCGCCTGATGACGTCCTTTACCTGGGACTGCGCCATCTTCAGCCGGTCGACCAGGAACGCTAACAAGAAACAAAAGCCATGGATACATTGTTCAGTTTTGTTTACTTCTGCCAGCCACAATAATTAAACAAATTGTTGCCGAGAGAAATACATGATGCAGGTATGGTTTAACAATAAAATGACGAAGTACTTTAGTCAATAACATAATAATTGGTACATTTAATGGGATGACCTTGTGTTCAAAGCTAAGCTCTATAGATAACAAAAAAAAAAACGTGTTTCGGAGGCGTTCCTTCATCGGCTTACGTGAAGTTTTGTACTGATAAAGCACATCCTATTCAAGTTTTTTTGTTGCTGTTTAACATTTGGACATTTTTAGGAACACCAGGTTATTCCATTACATTTATACAGGTGTGGTTTAATTGAAAAATGTCAACTTATTAAAACAACGTCCAGCCCCACGGAAGAAGCGCTGTTGAGGTTATCGGACTCAAATAACTCCGCGCAGGTGTTCAAGGAGTCGGCGTCCTCTTCCAGTTGCACCGTGCGGCCGCCACTCTGTACTGCGACTAGTGTCGAGGGCGCCATCAAAATGATCCGGAGGCACGCACGAGCATCCACCGCGTCGTGGTTGTTGTTGGAGCCGCACGTGCACCGCAGCTGCGAGAAACAGTTCTCGACGCAGTCCTGATTGACTTGCGACGCCATCAGGTGTCTCAGCTGGCGGTAGGAGGTGTGCAGGTCACCGTAGAGGCCGCGCAGGGACGCGATCCCCGGATGATGCCATGCTGGAATGGCAGGAGCGTCGAACGTCGGGTTGGCTGCTTCGCAGTGGCCTTTCGTGAGTCGCGTATCAGGGCATCCATGCCGGACAGCGCCGCGTCCTGACGCTCCTTTGCGGCTGCGTTGACCCCGAACCCGCAGCGTTCCGGCATGGCGTCGTACGGCTGGCGGCTGTTCGTGGTATCAAACCACGCGTCGACTGTCCTCACAGCGTCCGCCTGAACTGAACGGCGCGGGAGGTAGGCGGCCATGGCCTGAGCCATCGTGGCGGAGAAGGCTCGCGTGGCGAGGTGCACTCTTTAATACGCCTGCCCGCTTGCTTTGAATAAGTTATGGAGGACCTCTTGGCTGATAACTGAACAGTGCTGACTTCAAGCGAAGCGTTTTCAATAAACACTAGATCAGAGTTTCAAGCAACAAGTTTTTTTTTGTAAAGAAAATACGTGTTCACCTCGCACACAATTGGTCATTTTCCCTCGAAAACGTGTCTTGGCCAACTAGCCTTCGTCAGGTTTATAAGCGATTTTATTATGGACACTGATGAAATTGTGAGGTCTGGCAAGGACCAATGACAGGTAGTCTTCTTGTATGTTTCACGGCACCATCATCATCATCATCATCATCAATACATCATCATCGGCATGCTTACAGACATACGATGAGTCGCTCATGGCCACTAGTGCAGAATGTTTTCTCGTCGGAGAAAGATACACTTTTTTATTTTTTTTTTCCTGCAGCAGCAATGTATATTTAACATGTAAGATCCATTACAATATTGCATCGCAGAATTTTTTTCCACAAACGCGATTTACACGCACGCACACGCACACAAGGACACATACACCCATACACACGGAGGAGGTCGGGGCCGTTCCGCCGCCGGTGCCGCTCCCTGACGCGGCCGTCAGGGAGCTACGTGACGGCCACCTGACGCGGCCGTCACGTCGCGACGTGTTCGCCGACATCGATCCGGCGTTCCGAGGCATCGAGATGCAGGACGCCAACGAGTTCTTGCTGCGCCTGCTAGACACCATGAAGGAAGAAATCGACGCGCGGCGGCCGACCGATAACCTTGTGCGAGACAATTTTCAGTATCAGACCGTCGAGAGCTACATGTGCACCAAGTGCCATGAAACGGTGCTGAAACAGCAAGAGAACATATGCTGGTTTGTCAGCGTGCCGCGCCGCCAGGGCACAGAGACGCACACGCTGCAGGACGCGCTGCGGCTGTGCATGCGGCCTGACCGGCGCGAGCTGCTCTGTCAGCACTGCCGCCATGACGACTGCCGCGTCACCACCAAAATCAGCCAGCTGCCCAGGACGCTGATAGTCCAGCTTAACCGGTACGTCTTCCTTGGGGAGGAATCGAAGAAAATCTGCTCCAACGTCGGCATTCCCAAGCTCCTTTCGCTGAACGAACATGTCGCGGACGACGTCACCCGGCCCCCAGAGTGGAAGTGCACAAAGCCTGCCCTGTGCATCCTATCCGACTTCGAGGAGTCTGAGGCGCCCAGCTCGGGTCCGTCGCCGCCGCCCGCCGCCCGTGGACTGTCACCAGTGCCGGCCACCGCCGGCTTGCCGGAGTCCGCCGCCGCCGACTCGCCGGTGTCGGCCGGAGCCGCGGCACCGGTGCGTCCCCCGTCACCGGCGACCGGTGCCGAGCCGCCGCAGCCGCCGCCAGCGCAGGCCGAGCTGGTGGTGCTGGACGCCGACTCCAAGTTAAAACCGGCGCGGACCTGCGAGAGCAAAGACCGCGAGCTCCAGGAAGCCATCATGATTTCGCTGGAGGGAGCGCCGGCCGACGCCTCGGAGCAGGCACACCTATCGGAGCTCTGCGGGAAGACGGCCAGTCTCCCCGCTCAGTGGACCTGGCCGGCGACTTTACCTACCGGCTGGTGAGCGTCGTCAGCCACTACGGCAGCGCCACGCACTCTGGGCACTACGTGTCGGATGTGTACAGCGTCGGCAGGGACAAGTGGTTCCACTACGACGATCGGCGCGTCAGCTGTGTGGACGAGGCCGACGTTCTGGGTGAGGCCGGACACCAGAGGAACGGCTACATCTTCTTCTACCTGCACAAAGACCTTTGCGACCAAGTGGTCAGTGTGGAGGAAGCCGGCGGGGCGCTGTGACGGCCGCGTCAGGGAGCGGCACCGGCGGCGGAAAGATACACTTCTCCAAGGCTCTGGCTGCTGAGGCAGCTTCCGTGCGAATGCCGCCCTGGCCCTCTTTGTTATTTTTGACCAGAAGTGACTTGGTGGCGGCCACCCGTTCGAGCAGGCTGTGTTTGTGAACGAGCATGCAGGAAAAATAAAAATCGTCAGCAAACGAGGAAGAGTCGAAAAAAGACCCGAATGCCTCGTGTGAAAAAGAAAATCTGATGTGTGGGAAACCTAATAAAAATATTTTGCTCACTAATGAGCTACATAAAATGAAAAATATAGCATCAAATAGGTACACAAAGTTCTGGTCACCTCCTCACATTAGTGAAGTCCTAAAGCTTCTTTATTTTCTCCAGCGATGCGAAACACTTGTTCTTGAGCACAGCACACTGAGCGTGCCTCCTCAGCTGCAGGTGGCGGGATCGGCCCATTCCCCTTCGCTAGTCAGACAATGGCTGGTCTTAGGTGCGATATCCCCTGTGATAAAAAGATAAGGTTCAAGTTCAGCTAAAGCAGCATTTGAATGAGTGTTTTGGTTATCGGCTGTCATTAAAAAGAAGAAGAAGAAAAAAACAATTATCGCGCCAAAAATCTGCATTCAGCGTCCAGTTCTTAACTTATTGTCTGTTATCAATTCATTAGACGGGTTGACAAAACAATACCACATTTATAGCAAATGTTTCGTGTCGTCTGACGTGTCATGCCTGATAACTTTTAGTACTATCTGCCCCACTGTTCACTGTCACTTGCACCGTAACTATAGTTTCTTTTATAGTCTGCCGAAAGCCTTGATTTTCATCTTCCACGATGTTGATGTGTCCGTTAAGTCCGAGGGGTAGGCCGAGCCTGTGATGCGCCTAAAATGCGCTGAGCAGGCCAGGGAGTGTCGTGGAGAACATCACGAAGCCGTTATAAACGGGCAACCCGAATCAGTTGGCATCAACATGTCTTTCACCACCTTTGTGAAATCCAGGCGGCTGGAGTACTGGCCCTCGACGGCATGGGCAGCCTCAACGTCGACCGATGGAGCTTGCCGTCCCACATGTAGCGGGAGTTGAACGTGTCGATGGCTTGTCGACAATGGTGAAGCTCCACTGTCTGGTAATGGTCTCCAGTTTCATTCATCTCCACACGCGCCGTTCGGTTCACCCAATCGAATGCACCAACTCTTCATATCGCATCAGGATCATTGTAGCCGCGCTGCACTGCGCCGCACTGCTTGTCCCACACACACACGCGCGCGCGCACGCAAATGTGATTGTGATCACCATTTCTTTATTTTCTCCTGATAGTATATTTTTGGACACGGGAGCACATTACACTAGTGAAGTGAAGGTTGTCGTTTGCTTTCAAAATCACCGTAGCGGGTCTCACGAATATTGCTTGCTTCATTTTGCTCGCTTTGCTCTTTTGGGAGTGTCGCGTGGCGTTGCCCAATGTGTGAAGTTATATCTCTGCTTGCATTTTCAAATGAATATACATTCGTCATCATCTGATTCAAATCATGAAGTGTTTATCGTTTGTTTTCTTCATGACTATTTCATCGTGTTTATCGTGTGTTTTTCTCATGACCATTTCATATGTTGTCATACGTCTTGTTCACGAGTGTTGTGCGTTTCGCGTTGGTTGATCTAGCGTGATAACCTCTTAGAAGGCTATAATGTGTTCACCAGAGGAGGGCCGGCAGACTCTTCCGAAAAGGCGCATCTGTCCGAACTCTGCGCGGTGGGCTACTATTCACTGTGCTCAGTCGCCCTAGACGGCGACTACCCGCTGGTGGAGTCGTGAGTCATTACGGCGGTGCTACACACTCGGGGCATTGCGTGTCTGATGTGTACCTGTACAGTGTGGGCCGTGACCGATGGTACCACTACGACGACCGACGCGTCAGTTGAGCGACCAGGCAGCACCTGAGGTCCAATGATGACTGACATCTTCTGCAGCGCCGCAGATGCACCGATCTCAGTTTCAGCATAGCTCTCAGGGAGCTGTTAACTCAATAAAAATGCTTTATTAATTTATACCGGTTTAAACCGGCTTAAATAAGTAAAAATCACCGGTTGGCATCAATTCAATTTCAGCCGGCTAAAATCCAACCCTGCAGTCCTGAGGACGGGCACCACCGAACGTCTTCTGTTTCTTTTTTTTTTACATTTTTGACCTCACTTCATTTTTTGCTGTGGCCGGAAAACGGTTCCTTCTTGCATATGTCTTGCAATTGTTCCATGCTGGGGTTTCGGTCACCTCGGGCTTTGAATATAGCCCGCAGTCTCATCTCGTCTTGTGCCGACCACTTCACATAGCGCTTAGTTGATCGCTTCTCTGCAATAGTTTTTAGAATTTAGAGCGTTGCGGCTCCACCGTCAGAGGTGAGGGGACGAGCCTTCGGCCGGAGGGACGTCCCTCGGCGTAAACGAACCGTGTGGCCTTCAAAGCTTTCGTTGCATCCTTGCTATTGCGGAATTTAACCTCGATGGCTCCCTGGCGCATGCGGTCGCAGCCGCCCCTTCATTGGAAGGGGATATTGTACTCAAGGGCTTGTCACTGCTCCGGAGGATCAGGATCTTACGGTTTCGCGGTCGCTTGTCGTGCGCCGTTGGCCCGTCGGCCGAGGCCAACGGGGAGGGTCGGCCAGAGCCGAGGCAGTGGTTTGAGTAGGCGATGGAAATTGGTCAGGTTATCTATGCAAGGTCTCCGCCAGCTCGGGCGCCGATGCTCCGCCATCAGAGCTGCCAAGCCATGGGCAGCTGGGAGGCACAATCAGTCCACATCGCAGCAGGTAGTGACTCTCCTCCGTCACTGCCAGTGCTCTATGCATTTCTAGGGCGGCTGCCTCAGACCTATGACCATGTCGGGCAGCAGAGTTACCACCGAACTTCTCAGCCTGATCTAGGGATCTCAGCTTCTTCTCCCAGTCAGGATTTCTATTTTGGTCATATGTGTTCAGCTCACGGGACAGAGATGCTGTCACCCTGGGACCCCTTTCACTCTTCCACTGCGGGGAGCCCATCGGTAGGCAATGGCATGCTATTCTCGGCTCTCGCAGACTCCTCTACGCTCATCCTGATTTGTTGAAAGCAGCAGGAATATCACTTGGTGCATTATCAGCAAACTGACCATGCATGGTCTGTTCTATGACTGAACGAATACTCACCCGTGTGTGGTCAGGAGTGGAACCGAGCTCCAGGCCAGAGTCTTCCGTGGCGTGCGATGTGCCGCAGCGGCACTGCACTTTGACTGTTGCCTGTCGCCAGTCTCACCCCCAAGGCAACTTATATAGCATTTGTATTGTTCTTGAACGCCCGAAATGTTTTCGCTGCATGCGACCGCGGCCGCGGCAGCTGACCCCTTTGAGGTCCCGGTGGCCGCCGCGCCCAGGGTGGAGGGAACCTGGGAGCCTTGGGATCCTCCGTCCGACTCAGTCTCAGCGCCAATTTGGCGGGAAAACACCTACGACGCCAGCAGGTCGCGCCCCTGACGGGTCTCTGTGGTCTCTGTGGTCTCCAGATCATTGTGGACCGGAGAATGAGGGCGGGTGGAGCGGACTTGAGAGCCTTGGGCTCCGGAGTCAGCCTCGGTCGTGACGCCGACAAAGTCGTAAAACGTCTGCGACGCCAGCATGTCGCGTTCCCTACGGGTCACCAGTTCATAGTGAACCATCGACGTCTTTGGGGAGTGACGGCGGAACGAGCAGAGGTCATACCTTACTTGGCTGGTGATTTTGCCCTCTCTGTAAAGCCGCTCGACCGTAGTCACGTGCCAGCGCCGCAGCTGGGCAGTGGGCACCCATGAGCTGCGCTACAGGTTCCCCAAAGATGCGCGACACCTCTTCTGACTGCAGGGAGGGATACCTGAGCAGCCCAGGGAAGAAGGCGTTGCTGCTCCTGGCGCCCTTTAGGTGTTTCCGCACATGACTGAGATAGAACTCGGCGAATTTTGCCTCAGAAGGCGGGAAAATCGCGGTCGCGGGGCCGTACATTGCGGCCTCTTTGCCCGCAAGCCGAACGGCGGCCAGGCTCCCGTTAGGGTAGCGTTCGGCATTTTTGAACTCGTCCACAGTCAGTTCTGCGTACACTTGTGTACGCTGACCATGCATGAGACCGACACTTACGAAGAGAACCTGCCGGAAAGTAACTGCATCGCTCGCGAGGTCTAGATCAGAGTCCTGCTCGTCAAGGTTCGCGAAGGCATCATTTTCTCGCTCATCCATAGGTGCGCCGCTCGCCGCGCTGCAAGCCGTCTTTCGGACCCGATGTGTCTTCTCGGGGCGAGCGCTGATTTCCCCGCCTTTGAGCGTTTCTGTGATGATGGTTACCAGGTTCGTCCATTGCATCGCTAGGTCGTCCCCCAGGAGGAAGACCCGACGCGGGATGATGGCCAGGACATGTTTGATTGCGTTTAGCATCAGGTACCCGGTCGACGTGTGGCGTTTGAACACCGTTTCCAGGACGTTCCTGACCTTTTCGACTTTCTGAGGCGAACCTAGGAGGTGCCTGAAGTCGAAGGCCTCAAGTCCGTCGTTTTTTGGACAAGAGGCCCGCGCGCATGAGAAGAGTTCGCAAGTGATACCTGTAATTACGCCGAGTGGCATCCGGCATGTTTTCGGACATGATTTCTGCCGTCATGTGGCGGCTGTAAGGTCCTATGCGCGATACGGAGTGGGCCAGGACCCGTTCCGCATGACTCGAGTACTTTTTTGTTGTCGCTTTGGAGGTGGCGACGCGAGGCGCTTTGCTCCTCTGATGTCCCCGCCCCTCATCGCTGGGGGCGGCACCGCCGCTTGGGTCGCCAAGATCGTCAAGATCGTCATCGCCCGGAGGGTCGCCACGAGCGGTGGGAGCCGACCGGGACGGCGTCGATGGCGCCGACGCCATAGATGCCTCGCTTTCGCACTCGTCGGCGTGTTCGTCGGCGGCTCCCTTGGGCACTCTTCGAGGTAGCCCAGTAGCCTTCGCGGCGCGCTTCGAGGT